ATCCTTGGGCTACAACGGATCGCCTAAGTATCATGCCTGCTGGGAGTTGAAGTCCAACATCTGGAGAGCACTAGGATGTGGAAGGATGGATTAATCCAGATTTTGTTGAATGTCAACTCCCATCATTCTCAGCCCATATGCATAATGGGAGTTGAAGTCCAGTGTATCTGTAAATCACCAAGGTGTGGAATGATTGATTCTTCCAGATATATTTAAATGATAACTCCCACCATTTTCAGACGGCATGGATGCTTTTTATACCTTGAAATCCAACATATTTGGAGAGCACCAGCATGTGAAAGACTGGATTCATCCAAAATGGGGGGCTCCCCTCTCAAAGTTGCAACATTCCCAATTCTTCCACATCCTACCTTCCATCTCCCTGCGTTTTGTTTTCCATGTCTGCAACTTGCATTGCATGCCTGACAGACAACCACAAATGCTGTCTAATCCCAAAATGGCAAAATATTTATTATCTCACAGTTAACTCTGCGCTGGGCAAAGCCCTCACCTCTCTTGTCTGTGGCCCTGACATCTGCATGATTGGCCACCAGCTCCTCCACCATGTTTTCAACAGCCAGCCGCGTGGCAAGGATGAGTGGGGTGGAGCCATCTTGGGTGGATGCATCCAAATCTGTCTGCCTTTGCCGGAGTAGGATCTGTTGGGACAGAGAAATGTGTGTTTCCGGTGAGATTTATCTGTATGTCCAAGAAAGTATTCCTTCCTGCATGGACTCATCTTCTGATCAAGGCAATCTTCAAAGCAGTCATTTATGTGGACAGAACAGGTAAATTTGCAGAGAACAGCAGAGCCTCTTCAGACGTGGCCCCACAACGTGTTGAACAAAATTACAGGAATATGTTTGGATTTCATTCCTGACCTTCAACAGCTCATTCTTCAAGAGGAGGCCTAGCGATACCGAATGTGGAACCATATCATGATACATTTTAATTATTTCAACTAGGAAAATTTGTGAAGAATTCCAACTCTGTTGCCTGGGTGCAAATTTAAAGAAGCAAAGTATCAAAATATACTATGGGAAGTACCGTATATACCCAAGTATAAGCCGACCCGAATATAAGCCAAGGCACCTAATTTTACCACAAAAGACTAGGAAAATGTATTGACTCGAGTATAAGCCGAGGGTGGGGAATGCAGCAGCTGCTGGTAAATTTCAAAATAAAAATAGATACCAATAAAATTACATTAATTGAGGCGTTTACTTCTTGAGAGGAGAGCAATTACTAATTTCAATAAAATAGTGAAGAGTATAGACATCACACTGGCAATGAAGATCCGCATAGTTAAAGCCATGGTATTCCCCGTAGTAACCTACAGATGTGAGAGATGGACCATAAGGAAGACTGAGTGAAGGAAGAGAGATGCTTTTGAACTGTGGTGTTGGAGAAAGTTCTGAGAGTGCCTTGGACCGCAAGAAGATCCAACCAGTCCATACTTCAGGAAATAAAGCCCGACTGCTCATTGGAGGGAAAGATAGTAGAGGCAAAGATGAAGTACTTTGGCCACATCATGAGAAGAAAGGAAAGCTTAGAGAAGGCAATGATGCTGGGGAAAATGGAAGGAAAAAGGAAGAGGGGCCGATAAGGGCAAGATGGATGGATGGTATCTTTGAAGTGACTGGCTTGACTCAGAAGGAGCTGGGAGAGGTGACGGCCAACAGGAAGCTCTGGTGTGGGCTGGTCCATGAGGTCATGAAGAGTCGGTCAATTTCAAAATAAAAATAGGTACCAATACAATTATATTAATTGAAGCATCAGTAGCTTAAATATTTTTGAATATTGATATAAAACCGTAATTTCGGATAAGACTGCCCAACTCTGATTAAACCATTATTCTAACCTTCTTCAATGTAAATGTGCTTACCAATCATCATCATCATCATCATCTTTAATTACTTATTAATCGCCCTCCATGCGAGATGCTCCAGAATAATAACAATAATAAATAGAGTAAAATAATAAATGGAATAATAACAATAATAAATAGAGTAAAATAATAAATGAAATAATAATAATAACAACAACAACAGAGTAAAACAACTTTGACTCGAATATAAGGTGAGGGGAACTTTTCAGCCTAAAAAAGGGGCTGAAAACTTGGCTTATACTCAAGTATATACGGTATGTTTGCAGATAAAGTAAGTAAAACAAAAGCTACACAATCCTTTTACTGAGGACTTGATTCATATATGGTTCCAGTATAAGAAAGTACTTGCCCCATCACTATCACCCCTCTGTCCATTTTTAGAACACTATTTAAAAGAAAAATATAGTCAGTTTAAGGAATAGGGAGGAGAAAGGCATTTATACAACAAACAACTTGTTTTCATCAGAAAAAATTATTCAAATGGAACAAATGAAAAATAAATTAAAGCCAGTTAATCCATTTTGTTATCTCTAGATATTTTCAGGTCTTTCAGTGTAATTCTGTAGTTTGCATCTCCTGAAGGTTGACCACATATTCATGTTGGAGAACTAGAAATACTATAGCAGGCATAGGCAAACTTCAGTCCTCCAGATGTTTTGGACAAGATGAAACTCCCACAATTCCTAACTGCCCGTAAACTGGTTGGGATTTCTGGGAGTTGAAGTCCAATACATCTGGAGGGCCGACATTTGCCCATGCTTTCTCTAAAGGCAGTTCTAGGTCCTCCAGTGTGATTTTATAGTATGCTTCTGCCAGAAGTTGTTGATGCATAGTCCAATGCTCAAACCACTCCACCTAACCTGAAAGACGCCCAATGCGTCAGCGGCTACAGCGCTGTGCAAGGGGGTGCGTCCCCATTGGTCACGGGCGTTGACATCGGCCCCAGAAGCAAGGAGGCGGCGGGCAGCATCAGCACGGGAGAAGCGAGCTGCCAAGTGAAGAGGGGTCTCTCCAGAGTTGTGCGTTTGCTGGTCTGTCCAGGATCCCTCCACTTCCAAGCCGGGAGAAGCAGCCATAGGCATCAAGGGTGTCAAACCACAAACTGGGAAAATAAAAGGCCACAGAGAAAGGTGGAAAGAAAGGATTTGGTTCAAATTACTGAGCATTATAGGAAGAACTTCCTGACTATAAGAGCTGTTCAACAGTGGAACTCACTGCCTCAAAGTATGGTGGAAGCTCCTTATTTAGAGACTTGTAAACAAAGGCTAGATTGCCACCTGTCAGGACTGCTTTGCTTGGGCATCCCTTTATGGCAGGGGGCTGAATTACACACCCTCTGTATTTTCTCCCAACTCTCTGATTCTATGATTGGAAAATACATATTTTCCTGGATTGCAGCTTTTAGCCTATACCACTGTCTTTTACACTATGTAACATTTTTTTAAAAAAAAAAATCTGTTCCTGGTTTGAAAGTGTTATCTCCTGTTTAATGGTGCAGTACTTTGAAAGTAGTTGTTATACTCTAGAAACTTTGTTTATGTAGCTGCCATTTTAATCTTTCATGTGCCATTTTTAACCTTTTGTGTAGACCACAAAAATAAAGTTTTTGCAGTTTAATAAACCTTTTCATGTTTTTATGATAGGACCAATTAGGAAATGACATTTATAACCCAGGAACAAACATAATGTTACATAGTGTTATTTCTTTATAATTTATTAGTGAAATGAGTCTCCCTTCTAGTTAAATCAAGGCAGTATACAATTGGCCCTTCACTTTTGCAGATTTGAGTATGTTCTCTCTAGGAATCTGTAGGTCCTCTACTGCAACTTTATGGTGAACATCCGGTGAAAGTGAACCCAAAGGTCACACTAGAAGTCCTAGACAGTCTTAAAGAGAATACTTGCCTAGGCATTTATAATTTGCCAGAACAATTCTGTTAAAAGTTGACAACAGAGTTGCACAAGCATTTATTTAATCATATTTGTTTTCCATTTTCCCTGTACCTCTAACTCCAGCGAATGTGGAGAAATGGCTCTCCCATCCCTCACGTCCTCACAACAACCTGTGAGATTTTTGTGTGTGTGTGTATCAGGAGCAACTTGAGAAACTGCAAGTTGCTTCTGGTGTGAGAGAATTGGCTGTCTGCAAAGTCGTTGCCCAGGGGACACCTGGATGTTTTGATGTTTCACCATCCTTGTTGGAGGCTCCTCTTATGTCTCCACACAGGGAGCTGGAGCTGACAGAAGGAGCTCACCTGCGCACTCCCCGGATCCGAATCACTGACCTGTTGGTCATCAGTCCTGCCAGCACAAGGGTTTAACCCATTGCGCCACCAGGGGCTTCATCATCTGTGAGATCGTAGATGTATTTTTCCTTATTGATCTTACTGCTACAAGAGTTGGGGCTTCCTGCTTCACCAATTCCCTGCTTTGGAGTCAGACATCTCTCCCTTTACCTGGCTCTCGATTTTTCGCATTCTTTGGTCTGGTGCTCTTTTCCTGGGTCGGTGTGCTGCCTGGCATCTGCCTCTTGGGCTTTGGCTGGCCCTGATCTGGGACTGAGACACAATCAGAATCATCCTGCAAAACAGAGACTGCATTTTTAAAAAGTCTACTGGTCAAGGATCCGCATTTTACAATCTGTCTTTTTAGAAGTATTTTCCTTTATTTTATTTCTAAGCCATCTTTCTTACAAGTGTCTTACAAAGTTAGTTAATCATAGATTGCACTTCAGCTGGCATTCAATTAAGAGATTTATATCACAGTAAATCACACTGAGGGCTTCTTAGTGTTGCAGTGCATTAAACCACTGAGCTGCTGGACTTGCTGACCGAAAGGTTGGCAGTTTGAATCCGAGGAGCGGAGTGAGCTCCTGCTGTTGGCCCCAGCTTCTGCCAACCTAGCAGTTTGAAAACATGCAAATGTGAGTAGATCAATAGGTACTGCTTCGGCAGGAAGGTAACAGCGCTCCATGCAGTCATGCTAGCCACATGATTTTGGACAATGCCAGCTCTTTGACTTAGAAATGGAGGTGAGCACCACCCCCAGAGTTGGACACGACTAGACTTAATGTCAAGAGGAACTTTTACCTTTAAACCACACTAAGCATGTGCAGTGGACAATGTGCAACAATCATATCCAACTGATGGCAGCATACATTGTGCATGTGGGACTCTGATACATTCAGTAGCGCATTATAACACAAAAGCACTTTGCAATTGCACTGTGCAATTGCACGGTGGGTCAACATTACACTATGGTAGCATTCAGTATTGTGGTTGAATAATTTAACTCAGAGGAAGCAGACTTAGTCTATGAAAGCTTATGCTACTAAACTCACTGCAACCCACTTATGCGGGACTGTTATACATTCAGTAGCACATTATAATACAAAGGCACTTTGCAAATGCACAGTGGGCCATCAGCCATGCACGTTGATCACTGATCCACAGACATTACACTATGCTAGCATTCAGTATTGTGGTTGTATAATTTAACTTAGAGGAAGCAGACTTAGTCTATGAAAGCTTATGCTACTAAACTCACTGCAACCCACTTATGCTACTAACTTTGTTCTCTCAAGACATTATCACATGATGCTGGTTGCATGTTTGCAGCTGTTTAACATCACATGACTGTACTGCTTATCACGCAGTACCACTTGCACATCAGTTTTCCCCTTGTGTTTTTTTTTCATTCATGGGAGAAATCCATGAATGTGTTCCAAATAGTGTGTTGTTCCCCCATTACTAGTGGTGTGATAGGGAACTGGTGTGGCTGCTGCAATATTTCACAGTTCCAGCACCCCCAAAACATGTTGCACACTGATAACACCACCATCTTTCTGGCATTATAAATTGATTTGTATAATATGTTGTCATCCACTGGAGTTGGCGATGCTTCCATATTATTACTGTATTGTGGAAGGCTTTCATGGCCAGAATCACTGGGTTGTTGTAGATTTTTCGGACTGTATGGCCATGTTCTAGAAGCATTCTCTTCTGACGTTTCACCTGCATCTATGGCAGGCATCCTCAGGGGTTGTTATTATATTATTATTATTTTATGACAGGAGATAAAGAGAAATGAAAACATATAACGGAAACTGAAACAGCAGCACTATGTAACCATGGAATGACATGCCAACAAAAACATGAAAAGGGGATTCTCACAGCAATGGGCCAAATCTTGAAAATTGAACTTTCTTTCAGTTTTTTAAAAAAGTACATGGGTTCAAAAGGGCAAGCCAAGTAGGGAGGAAAAGTCTACAAGGTGGTGTGGTAATAGGATGCGTGTTAACAGGGCGCTATTATGGAGACTGTGCGAAAGGCCAATGCAAGCATGTTCCTCTTTTCACAAAGTCCTCTCCTTTTACTTGGAGTTGTGCTTACCAAAACTGGACTATGTAGGATTTTGGCCCAAGCAGTATAATACCCACATCCAACAAAATAAGTCCTTTCTATGAATTTCCAGGCAATTCTATGGCATACATCTACCAGAAGTTATAAGAAAAATTTGCCCTGGAGAACCTAGCTAATTCCTAGCTGATTTTCTAGGTTCTCTAGAGAGATTTTTAAAAACTGTGGCATAGACGCTGAGAACTGGGATGCCCTGGCTCTTGAGCACTCTAACTGGAGGTCTGCTGTGACCAGCAGTGCTGCAGAATTCAAAGCAGCACGAATGGAGAGCGAAAGGGAGAAACATGCCAAGAGGGAGGTGTGCCTTCCATCTGGAAACCAATGTCCTCACTGCGGGAGAACATGCGGATCAAGAATAGGGCTCCACAGCCACCTATGGATCCACCGCCAAGACACTACACCTGGAGGACCATCATCCTCAGGCTACGAGGGATTGCCTAAGTAAAGTACTAGAGAGATTTTATGGTAACATCTGCTGGAAGTAATTTATTTCAATAGAGCTTGCCATTGTTCCTTGTTTCTGCAGTGAGCTGAGGCATGTATCCTTTGCAGATAATGTAGCTGTACTGTAATTTAAGATATGCATGAAACACAGCACATTAATAAAAACATTAAAAGCATACACTTCCATTTTGACCCAGTTAGTTAATGAAGGCCTGTCTAAATCAAAATTCCTCTGGCCGTGGATGGAGGCAGTGCTTGACGTTCACTAGGTTACCTCCACATCCTTGGTGTTCAGAGGTCCATCATAATGGGGACTGGAAAACATATCCATCTCTTCTACAAATTCAATCTCCATTTTCCTTGGCCTGCGTTGGGAGAGAACATGAAAGGAAAGTTTGGGCAAATTGTCAACATGTGATAAAATAGTTCTTTAATGCATCGAAAGAGGATCCATCTGAGAAAATTATGTCTCCTGTCCTTGAAATGAAACCACACAATACCCAAAACCATATAATTTGGTCTCATAATCACTTTTCCCAGGTAAATAATTAACCAATTTCTCCCCTTGCTCCTCAAAGTCTACTGTTAGTAATTGTGGGAGTTGAAGTCCAAAACACCTGGAGGACCAAAGTTTGCGCATGCCTGCTCTATATACTTACTTTAACCCAATAGCATCTTCCCCGACAGGTTCTCTCCGGCGGCGCCGTTTCTTGCCCTGGTGTGGAGCAAATCCAGGCGGGAACCACAATGAACCATGTTCTCGGTGCTGGGGCCGGCGAATCCTCCAGATCCCCACAAAGATGCCCAGGGCTATCACCAGAACACCTGCCACCACGCCGTAAAGGAGGGGCCCGGAGAAACGTGGAACAGAGGTCTGTGAATCTGGCAAGATGGACTTCATTTACTTTCATCGAACATGTACAGTTAACCCTCCACTGGGCATGCACTGGGCTAAAGGGAATAGAACCACCACAAAATGGGGGGAAATGTGATTTTAAAAACTATTTTTATCTCCCTAGGAATCTCTAAGTCCACCCGCGTTCCTCTGTGGTGCATATCTGCTAGAAGTTGTTCTGGAGGCTCTAGAGGTGATTAGGGAGGTATTCTGACATAAGGTGACCTTAAAGTAACCTAGCACTGGATTTTCCTGGCAAGAGTTGTTCAGAAGGGAGTTTGCGATTGCCTTCCTCTGAGGCTGAGAGAGTGTGCCTTCCCCAACATCATCCAATGGGTTCCTATGCCCGAGCAGGCATTTGAACCTGGTCTCCCAGAGTCCTAATCCAACACGCAAACCATTAGAAGTAACTATAACATCCAGATATTTTTCTCTGAAGTCCCATAATAAATATTTATTATTTACTGCTTTTATATCCCGCCCTTCTCACCCTGAAAGCGCTATTGGTTATGATTCTATGATGTGACGGAGCGGATTATTTAGTGTAACTAGATTATAGTGTATTATTGTTGTATTGATTCCCTGTTTTGCCCTTTTTGTAAACTGTTTTTATATGTTGTGCACCGCCGCGAGTCGCCCTAGGGCTGAGAGCGGCGGTCAATAAATGCAAATAAATAAATAAAATAATAAATAAATAGGATAAAGCATATTCCTGGAGCCATCCCAGTTGAAAATGGCACTATTCCATAGTTACTTATTGCACTGAGAGTTATTGCCCAAAGGCTTGGTCTCACATCCATGTCTTCACTTTCTTCCTGAAGGTCAGGAGGGAGGGGGTTGTTCTAATATCACTGGGGAAGGGAGTTCCTTTTTAAAATATATATATTTTTATTTTCAGCATTTTCAAAGGTTTACAGTGAAAGTGGGGGAACAATGTGAAGGAAGGGAGTTCCATAGCCAAGGGGCCACTACTGAGAAGGCCCTGTCTCTCATCTCCAGCAGTTGGCCTGCAAAGGGGGTGGGACTGAGAGCAGGGCCTCCCAGACAATCTTAACCTCCGAAGTGGGTCGTAGAGGAAGATATGTCCAGACAGGTAAGCTGGAACTATTTAGGGCTTTATAGGCTAAAGCCAGCACTTTGAATTGTGCTCGGTAGCAGACTGGCAGCCAGTGGAGCTTGTGCAACAGGGGGGTTGTGTGCTCCCTGTACACCGCTCCAGTAAGGAACTTGGCTGCCACGCATTGGACTACTTGAAACTTCCAAAAGGTCTTCAAAGGCAACCCCATGTGGTGCACATTGCAGCAGTCTATTTTGGGATGTAACCAGAGGGTGGACTACCATGGCCAAGTCTGACTTCCCAAGGTATGGGCATGCAACTGGCGCATAAGTTTTAATTGTGCAAAAGCTCCCCTGGCTACTGCCGAGACATGAATTCTCTCCATGCTGTAACTTGGATTTAACACATTCTCTTTACTGAGTGGACCCTGGAAAAGATATATAGGCTGAGTTTGCAAATCTGATTGTTGAGGAATGCAGCTCTGAGGAAAATAGGTAGCCTATGAGCAAGATCACATTTCCTTTAACATTCAGGGCTTTGTTCTCTGCACCCAAACCAGAATTTCTGCCCTTCTCCCTCCCATTGATGTAACGTACCATTTTCCACCGACTCAAGCCAAGCTGCGACCAGCAGGTATGAAAGTAAGGATTCCAGGGATCCCTTTGCTGACAAGGCCCCCAAAATATTCAGGACAGATTTGGGGGATGAGGGACACAGCCCTGAACACAAGCTGCTGTCCACAGTCAGGAAGATAGTAAAACTGCAATAAGAAAAGACACAAGAAATTAGGCATTTGTGTAGAATATTCAGTGGTCTTCCTGCATAAAACCATAAAATATAGTTGGTGTGCCAAATTTAGGCCAACAACACTCTTACCCAATGGTTTCTGTGACAGAAGTCTTTTTCTGAGTCCAGTTGCTTTTGCTTCCAAGCTCTTCCTTCCCAGTATAGGGATAGATCCGCTCTTTGCCTTCAGCGTCCCGTGTAACTTGTAGCACGGCCCGCGTGACAACCGTCAGGGAGTGCAGAAACTGAGGAATGGCTTTCCAGGGAAGCAGGACCACCAGCCCCAATAGTGGTGCCTTCGCTGGGACAGGCAATGGCAAGCAGTCTCCTCCGTCCCACCCGCAGGAAGCCATGTTGCACCCTCGGTCACAGTGTCCGTCACGGAAGCGGTCCCGGCAATACATGGCATAGGATGGGCTGGAGAGGAAAGGTTCATGACACAGTGATGCATGGTATGGCGTTCACACATTGGTTGTTCAGGAGTTTTGCACTTCAGATCCCAAAATCCCCAGCCAGTTTGGAGAATTTGGGCCAAAGATTCTGGGAGCTGAATTCCAAAACACAAGAGCTGAAGAGTCACTGGTGTAGAGAAACAGACGAAGAGAGAAACAGATGAAGAGAGATATTATTTCTTGTCTTCTATATATCAACATTTGAAAAAATTCTGTTCCTGGTTTGAATATGTTATTTCCTGCTCTAGAGAAGGGAGAATAGTGGCTGGATCAGGCCTGTAGCGAGGGGGTGGTTTTAGGGGTTCAACCCCCCCCCGAAATGTTTCAGATTTTTTTAAAAAACCTGTTTTACTCATGAATTTTAATTGGTTAACCAAATCCCCATGCTAAGTCTATGAGATGCAAAAAATTAAGAGTCCCTCCAGAACTGCAAGCACTATCTCAGGCAAATATTGACAATTTATTCACACTGTCATTACTTGCAGCAATAGCCGATGTAGTGAAGCAACCAAGTTGGGGGGGGGGTGTTGAATGCTCTCATTAAGGAGGCCAGACTTGGTGGAGGTGGTTGACAGGGGCGGAGCTGCAGCTATTGAAGGCTGCTCTGCCCCCTGCTGTGCTCTTTGCTTCAGCGTGAGCTAGGAGGCAGGTTTCAACCCCCCCCCGAAATTTTCAACCCCCCCCCCCGAAAATTTCAACCCCTCCCGAATTTTTTTTCTGGCTACGGCCCTGCTTACCGTACATACTCAAGTATAAGCCAACCTGAATATAAGGTGAGACACCTAATTTTGCCGCAAAAAACTGGAAAAATGTATTGGGTTGTTGTAGGTTAGGAATTGTGGGAGTTGAAGTGCAAAATACCTGTAGGGCCAAAGTTCGCCCACGCCTGGGTTAGAGGCATGGGATTACCATAAAAGTCAAAAATTTGCAGTTTTTACTTTTGCAGATTTGCTTATTTGTGGGCTTGATTAAAATAGTCTCTCTGAGGTTTTCTAGGTCAGTGGTTCTCAACCTGTGGGTCCCCAGGTGTTTTGGCCTACAAATCCCAGAAATCCCAGCCAGTTTACCAGCTGTTAGGATTTCTGAGAGTTGAAGGCCAAAAACATCTTGAGAACCACTGCTCTAGGTCCTTTAGCATGACTCTATGAACAACTTTTGCTAGAAGTTGAGCATAAGATAATGCTGGAGGACCTAGAGAGATTTTTAGAGAGAATACCTCTGTAGGGATCCCCATGTCCTCCAATGCAATTCTGGGGTCACCTTGAAGAGACTGAAATTCCTAGAGAGGTGTTCTCTCAGCTAAAAAAAAGAATTTGGTTTTTTTTCTTCATTTTTTAAAACTTTCATGGGGGTCCTTTGCTTCTAACCCAAGCATGGGTAAACTTATCAAAGCAGAAAACCCACACTGTCAGCTTTGAACTGGATTATCTGAGTCAACACTGCCATATAATCCAGTTCAAAACTGATAATCTGGATTTTATATGGCATTGTAGAAGGGCCCAAGTCTACACCATCATATGATCTCATCCAAAGCAGGTAATCTAGATTTGGAAACTGGGCTGAGGAAATGTGACTTTGGGTGTGTCTACACCAGGCACAGGCAAACTTTGGCCGTCCAGGTATTTTGGACTTCAACTCTCACAATTCCGAACAGCCAGTAGGCTGCTAGAAATTGTGGGAGTTGAAGTCCAAAACACCCGGAAGGCTGAAGTTTGCCTGGTAGGCTGTTAGGAATTGTGAGAGTTGGAAACCAAAACACCTGGAGGGCCCAAGTTTGCCCATACCCATTGAATGTGTTTTGGACTTGTTTGGCTGGGGCATTCTGGAAGCTATCATCCAAAAAATGAGTTTGCACATGCTCTGGCTGTTTGTCCATTCCTCATCAACATCCTCTTGTTAGGATTGTCAAGCCTTCCCCCCCCCCCCACCCCCACTTTTGGACACTCACTTGCATTCCTTCTGTTGGACACAGTCAAAGCCGTCATACAGGCAACCTTCACTGTCACAGGGACGCTGGCAGAGCCCATTCCGGAAATCTGCCTGGCACAGCTCTTGCTTTGGGCAACCTCCCCAAGGATTGAGCAAGCCCAGGGAACAGTCGCCACCATCCCAATTGGTCTCAGGGGAGCTGCAGGCCCGGTCACAACGCCCGTCTCCTGAGGTCTTCTGGCACTCAGGTTTTAGGGTGCCATTGGTAGCTGTGCAGGAACCCGAAGAACAGGGAGGTTGGCGGCAGTCTATCCCAGAGAAACCTGCCACACAAAGGCACCGTGGTCTGGACTGGGGTGAAATGCAAACCCCGCCATTGTGACAGGAAACAGGTCCACAAGACGGTGTGTGTCGGTCACAGGTGGTTCCTTCATACCCCTAAACATCGGAAGGAAGGAGGATGCTTTTAATGATCTCCACAAGCTTTTGTATGGGTTCTTTCCATCTCCCTGAAGGGCAAAATACTGAATCTTGTTTACCAGAAGAAAGAGGCTTTGAGTTACACACAATATGTTCACATTTGTCATAGAATCATAGAGTTGGAAAGAGTCCCAATGGCCATCCAAGCCAACCTCATTCTGCTAGGTGGCATGACAGAACCCAAGGACTACTGATAAATGGCCATCCAGCCTTCTTTCAAAACCCTCCAGAAAAGGATATTGTCCCATCCTTTGTGCCTTTGCATACCTTCATCTGAGTCCACCAGATCCCTGTCTCTTGCCTCTCTGTGTCCACTACAACATTTTGAACCTAACTCTCACCTTTATTCCCAATCTGAGGTGGCAAGAGCTGACCAGAGATCAAGAAGGCAGGCTTAGTTCTCTTTGTGTACATTTCCAAACCAAATGACTGGAGGAGGGCAGTGGCTGAATCTACACGGCCAAATAATCCAGTTCAATACAGTTAATCTGCATTCAGAAACTGGATTATATGACAGTGTCGATGGGGCCAGTAGCTCAACCACAGCACACCTCTGGTTGCTGAAGTCCTAGGTTCAATACCTGGTTAGGCATGGGAATAATCTGGTCTGAACCCCAGGGTGGCACTGTCTGTCAATGTAGAACAATTGGCTGGAGAGAACAGGACATGTATTTCAAACATGTTTGTTTTAGAGTGCATTCATCAATTAAAAATCTTGATTTAAGCAACAAATACGTCAATGGCATTCCCAGTGGTCCAGCCGGTTAAACCGCTGAGATGCTGAACTTACTGACTGAAAGTTTGGTGGTTTGAATCATAGAATCATAGAATCATAGAGTTGGAAGAGACCTCATGGGCTATCCATGCCAACCCCCTGCCAAGAAGCAGGAATATTGCATTCAAAGCACCCCTGACAGATGGCCATCCAGCCTCTGTTTAAAAACCTCCAAAGAAGGAACCTCCACCACACTCTGGGGCAGAGAGTTCCACTGCTGAACAGCTCTCCAGTCAGGAAATTCTTCCTAATGTTCAGGAATCTCCTTTCCTGTAGTTTGAAGCCATTGTTCCATCGTCCTAGTCTCCAGGGCAGCAGAAAACACAGCTTGCTCCCTCCTCCCTGTGACTTCCCCTCACATTTGATCCATGGCCATCATGTCTCCTCTCAGCCTTCTCTTCTTCAGGCTAAACATGCCCGGCTCTTTAAGCCACTTCTCATAGGGCTTGTTCTCCAGACCCTTGATCATTTTAGTGCCCTCCTCTAGACACATTCCAGCTTGTCAATATCTCTCTTGAATTGTGGTGCCCAGAATTGGAAGTGGGGTGAGATCCTGCTGTTAGCCCCAGCTTCTGTCAACCTAGCAGTTCAAAAACATGTATAGGTGAGTAGATCAAATAGGTACCACTCCGGTGGGAAGGTAACGGTGCTCTGTGCAGTCATGATGGCCAAATGACCTCGGAGGCGTCTACAGACAACGCTATCCCTTCTCACCATACGTAAGTTTCTGCTGGTTATGGATTATAGCAGGGTACTCCTGGTACCCTGCTATATTTTGGTGGAATTGCCCCAACGGAGGGTCATTTTTGAGCCTAACAGCTCAGATTCCCCAACAGTTTTGGATTTTTTGGGTATTTTGGAATACCTGGATATAAATACATTGATCCATGGCTGATACCAAATGAGAGACCCTCCTGGGCACACAGAAGACTGGACGACTTGAAAGGTGCTGAACAGGCTGCACTCTGGCACCATGAGGTGCGGAGTCAACTTTAAGAAATGCAGCCATGAAGTGGAATCTACAACACGCGAGTGTGGAGAAGAGCAAACCACAGACCACCTACATGCACAATGGAGGCCCTTCTTATAGCAACACCAGAGGCACTCCAAGTTGTCAGCTACTGGTCAAAGGACATTTAATATAATGACAAGTTTTAAACTTTGTGTTTTTTAAAATACATTACAACTGTACCCTTGGTTTGCTCCTGATACGAAAAATAAATAAATACATAATGAGATATCTTGGAGATGGGACCCAAGTCTAAACATGAGTTCATGCAGGTTTCACATAGGCTTTATACACAAAGCTTGGAAGTAATTTTATGCACCATATTTGTAATAATGTTTGTGCATGAAACAAAGTCTGTGTACACTGAACTATCAGAAAGCAAAGGTGTCACTATCCGAGCCTACCTATGTGGATGATGTTGGAGTGTTTTGGAATTCCGCAGAATACTCAACCTGTATAGATTTTAAGTTTTGCAACTTCTTTTAGAAATTAAGCCCTCTTTTATTATCTCACCAGTGCCATTGAATTCCCCAGTTACATTCTCCCAACTCCGTTCCTACCTGTGGACAGTGGCAGGTGAATTCAAGAGGGTTGCCAGGCATCATGGTACAGCTTCCACCATTGAGGCAGGGATTGGCCTGACAACTGTCAATCACAGATTCACACAGGATCCCTAGAAAGAAGGAGGGATGTTTAGCTTAAATAAGATTTGGTTTATGAGTGGAGACAAAACCAATCAGACTTAAGAATAAAGACGAGTGAAATAAAGACCAGGTGTGCCATTTGAAGGGAAAACATTATTGGGTTGTTGTAGGGTTTTTTTGAGGGGGGGAGGGACCTATATGGCCATGTTCAAGAAGCATTCTCTCCTGATGTTTCGCCTACATCTATGGCAGGCATCCTCAGAGGTTGTCAGGTCAGCAACCTCCTGAACTACAGATGCAAAACCACCCCTACCCCCCTCATATCCTACCCAACACCGCCAAAATCAATCACGTAAACATGCCTACCACCTTAACATTTACCCCAACACCTCTCCCCCTATATGGCCATGTTCAAGAAGCATTCTCTCCTGATATTTCGCCTACATCTATGGCAGGCATCCTCAGAGGTTGTGAGGTCAGCATTTCTCTCCAGTGGCTTATTTCACTCTTAAGTGGAGCATCCACAATATAGAAATAATGTGGTTTGGCAGCACTTTAGTGGCTCTGGTTCAAGATAATTTAATCCTGAGAGTTGTAGTTTTTCAAAGTGTTTAGGCTTCTCTGCTCAAGAGGGCAGGTGCCTCACCAAACTACAACTCCCAGGATTCCATATTATTGAGCAATGGCAGTTTAGGTTGTATGGAACTGCATTCATTTGATTGTATGGGTGTACCCTTATAATGGCACAGAGGCAGCTTCTTCTGCTTTGAACCTGCTTTCAGTCTTTCTCCTTTACCTGTGTATCCTGGGGCACACAAACAGTGGAAGCCATGTTCGCTGGACTGGCAGTCGTGGGCACCGGGTCGGTGGCATGGCTGGGAGAAGCAGGCGTCCACCACCCCTTCGCACCGCTTGCCAACATACCCAGTAGGGCAGATGCAAGAAAACCCTTCAGGCTGAGCCACGCAGGTGCCACCATAGTAGCAATGCGGACCGGGGAGAGAGCAGGGGTCCACATCACAGCGGGGACCTAAAAAATGAAAGGAAGCATTAGTCAGGGTGCAGCTACACTACAGAATTAATGCAGTCTGACACCGCTTTAACTGCCATGACACAATCCTCATAGAATCATAGAATCAAAGAGTTGGAAGAGACCTCATGGGCCATCCAGTCCAACCCCCTGCCAAGAAGCAGGAATATTGCATTCAAATCACCCCTGACAGATGGCCATCCAGCCTCTGTTTAAAAGCTTCGAAAGAAGGAGCCTCCACCACACTCCAGGGCAGAGAGTTCCACTGCTGAACGGCTCTCACAGTCAGGAAGTTCTTCCTCATGTTCAGATGGAATCTCCTCTAGATTGCTGCCAAATAATGTTGGTGTTTCATCAAACTCCCATGAGTCCACTACATTGAGCAATTAAAGTGATGTCAAAACTGCAGTTGATTCTAGAAAATAAATGCACACCTTTGGATATATTTCAAAACTACAAATATTTACTCTTTTGGAACAAGTCCCTGAACTCCCACTAGAATGATGTGTAGTACAAAGAAGGTAAAGGTAAAGGTTTTCCCCTGACATTAAGTCCAGTCATGTCCAACTCTGGGGTGTGGTGGTCATCTCCATTTCTAAGCCAAAGAGCCGGAGTTGTCCATAGACACCTCCAAGGTCATGTGGCCAGCATGACTGCATGGAGCACCGTTACATTCTTGATGGAGCGGTGCCTATTGATCTACTCACATCTGCATGTTTTTGAACAGTTAGGTTGGCAGAAGCTGGTGCTAACAGTGGGAACTCATCCTGTTCCCCAGATTTGAACCTGCGACCTTTCGATCAGCAAGTTCAGCAGCTCAGCGGTTTAACCCACTGCACCACCGGGGGTTCCAGTCCAAGGAAAGAACTACATAATTAAACATCCTTAGTATTAAAAACAATTCATGAATAATGCATTGTCGAAGGCTTTCATGACCGGAATTACTGGGTTGTTGTAGGTTTTTAAGCCTGTATGGCCATGTTCTAGAAGCATTCTCTCCTGACATTTCGCCTGCATCTGAGGACGCTTATCACAGATGCAGGCAAAACATCAGGATAAAATGCTTCTAGAACATGGCTGTACAGCCTGAAAAACCTACAGCAACCCTATTCATGAATAAAGAAACAAATACCTGTGGTTCCCAGCGGGCACAAGCAACGGAATTCACCAGAGATCCTGATGCAGGTTCCTCCATTAGGACACTTTCCCCCTGGAAGGCACTGAAACCAGAATGATTCAGAGTAGGTTTATAAAAAGGTTTATAGTGTACACCAGGGGTCCTCAAACTAAGGCCCGGGGGCCGGATGCGGCCCTCCAAAGTCAATTACCCGGCCCTTGCTCAGGGTCAACCTAAGTCTGAAACGACTTGAAAGCACACAACAACAACAACAACCCTATCTCATCAGCCAAAAGCAGGCCCACACTTCCCATTGAAATACTAATAAGTTTATATTTGTTAAAATTGTTCTTCATTTTAATTATTGTATTGTTTTTAAGTGCTTTTTGCACTACAAATAAGATATGTGCAGTGTGCACAGGAATTCATTCATGTTTTTTTTTCAAATTATAATCTGGCCCTCCAACAGTTTGAGGGACTGTGACCGGCCCTCTGTTTAAAAGGTTTGAGGACCCCTGGTGTACACCATACAGACCCAGGTGTGCTTTGCTAACAATCAGCTGCAAGATTGTTATATACTCCAGAAATGGAAATCTATGGCTCTCCCTACAAAAGAAGTTTGGATTCTGAAGATCTTGAAATGGCTGGCTTTGAATCGCACCCCAAAAATGGTTGTCATCCCTGCTTCCAAATGTTCCCAAGGTCTTTCAGACACAAGGCACAGTATCCCCATGTCATTTCCATGCTCACCTGACAGTTAAACCCTCCAACCGGATCTGTGCAGTTATCTCCATTCAGGTTTGATTGCTGTTGGCATCGAGAGCCAGTCCAACCTGGGGGGCAGAGGCAGTGGGGGGCAGAGTCTTTTACGACACACTGGCCTCCATGTCCACAGGGGTCTGTTGTGATGGACAGATACAGGCACAGCGAGTGACAATAAGATATAGCCAGCCCTCCAGTAAAAGTGAAAAATGCTTGTATATTTTCTCAGGCAGGCAGCTTGGCATATATACCAATCATGACCAACTGAATATACAATCAGGGATTGGAAATAATCGACCCAGGATTATTGGAGTTGTAGTACACCCACATCCAAAGACCCATGTGTAGTCTACATTCATGTGTATTTCTAATGGGAC